TATATATATATATATATATATATATTATTTGTTTATATTTTATATATATATATATATAATATAGATATTAATAAAAATGTATCAGTGACTGTGAGTCTTGCAAAACTTGTCATAATAATATTTTATTATTGTTATTGTTAACCCCACCAAGAATATTTAAAAACACTGAACCATGTGTTCTGCTTTAATGGCTGTACGTCTAATACTTACAGAGGAAAAAATTGTGAGAATGAGTTTAGTATTCAGCTATGACTGATTAAATGTGCAGATACTTCATTGCTCCTGTCAAACAGGTTACACTGAGTGGAGCGGTCGACCGTTCCAAGATGGCGGCTCTACAGCTCGTCAGCGCCAATAGGCGATAGCGGTCAATGCTGTATCTAGTGATTATATGATATCTATGGTTTGAACTCCTGACCACTATGACCCCAGGACATGTGAAGACTCACTTGTTAAGTTGAAGATCTCTGGGCAGGGTGTTCTGCCAGATGTTCCCCATTCACCTTCACTTCTCATTAGGGTTTACCATGTCTGCCTGGCAGCCTACAACCTGCCACTGGATCTGACTCACCACCAGGTGATGATCATTTGACAGCTCTGGGCCACCATATGCACCAACATGGTGCATACATCATACATCATACATCCTGGGCCAGCACAGAAGTCAAATAACAGAACACCACCCAGGCTCAGATCAGGAAGGCCATCCCTCACAATCACTCTCCTCCAGATGACTCCATCATTGCTGACATGGACCATGAAGTCACTCAGGAGAACATCAAAATCTCCCAATAAAAGCCAGGTAATCTGAATATATCCCTAGAGCCAGATGTGTCACCAAGGATGAGTGCATCCAGGGCATTGTCTTCACCTGCAACCCTGAATCCTAGGTACCTAACCTTCACAGCTGTCCTTGCAGGAGGTGGGTTCAGGACACACAGCCTGACCACCAGACTGTCACCACAGACCTCTTCACAGAGGGTGCACTGGTTTCTCTCTCCCAGTCTATGTTCCCTGTGCAAGGTGGTCTCCTTTATCATCATCAGCCTGTATTCTATTCCATTCCATTCCATTCTAATCTATTCTATTCTGTTCTATTCAAAAGAGGTTTTCGTTGGAAAACCTGAACGCAGGCTGATCAGAATGAATGATAAATGACTTACTCACCATTAGGAGGATCAGGTGAAGGTCAGATGATGGTGGCAGCTTTCTGCTGGCAAACACAGTGGTCATGTGACTATCTCTGATGACATCATCACCTCACCTTTGATCGATCAGTGATCAAACTGATCAGCTTTTCTCTGAACATTGAAAACTTTCTTGAACTCACAGAAGACATGTAGTCATTGGGGAGGTGCTGTTTGCTGGAGGAAGATGAGGATGAGGAGGAAGAGGGCTGGCTGGGTGGACTGGACTCTCCAAGCATCGCCTCCTGGAGGTGGGAGGAGACGCAGCCGCTGTCGGAGCCTGTGGAACCAGAGAGGCAACGAGACGAAGAACCAGAACTCTCGGTGGCTGCAGAAACAACAAGGAGGAGTCTCAGAGCATGATGGGAAACACAAACTGAGGACTCACAGGTGTGCTGATCTGCAGGAGGCAGAGCTACAGCATCAAAGTGTGCACGTACTCATGGAGGGCTGGCTGCTGGTTTCATGTTCCTGCTCATCTTCCTCAATACAAGAGGAGCTGAAGGATGAGTCAGCAGGAGGAGCAGCGGGGGGCAACTGACTGCAGAAGGAGAAAGGGAAAGAGAAAGGAACAGCATAACCATCTGAGAACGCACGAGCTGAGGACAGGTGCGTGTTACCTGTACATGTGCAAGTTGAGTGGCCCCAGCAGGCTGCAGGAGGACGGTCCTGATGCTGCAGGGTCAGAGGTCACGGCTTCTCGTTTGAATGGCTGAGAGTGGTCAAACACAGAGACGGCGATAGATGCTCGAGTTCTGGCCCCTGAACACAAAGAGATCAAAACCTGTCAGCTCCTCAGACCTCCTGGTCCAGGCCTGAGGGACGATGAGGACAGTTTATCTTGCAGCTCCAATTGGACAGTTTCACTTTCAGTGTTTCAGTGTAAACATGATCTTATGAGACAAAACCAGTCAGGATTAATTTTCTGCCTCTGCTGCTTTTTACTGCTGTTAGTTTTGTTTTTTACATCTGTAAAATAAAAACTCAACATACACTGGATTTAGCTGATTAAACTGACAGGTTCAGGGATTAAAGCAGAAAAAAAAAATACTGATTCTTTTTCTACATCTAGAGCTAGAGGTTACCTGACCATCATCCCCCTCCACCCCTACCTGTCCCATGTCATTTTTGTGTTTTTGTATGAGGGGTTGTCAGATATATTTTGAAAATTAAAGCCCAGAAAATCATTTGCAGAGTATAAATTAACTTAATATTCGTTTTGCCAGACTGACAGATTTCTCCCCTAAAATAATGATTTAATTCAAAGGGATTATATTTACAAGATTTCAGCTCATGAAGTCATTTAATACTGTTTATTTCATATTTGATCATTTATTAAATTGCATTTATCACAGTACAGTTACATAATGTGAGGAAAATAAGTATTTGAACACCCTGCAACTTTGCAAGTTCTCCCACTTAGAAATCATGGAGGGGTCTAAAATTTTCATCTTAGGTGCATGTCCACTGTGAGAGACATAATGTAAAAAGAAAAAAAAAAAAAATCCAGAAATCACAATGTATGATTTGTGTACTGCTGCAAATAAGTATTTGAACATCTGCCAATCAGCAACAATTCTGGTCCTCAAAGACCTGTTAGTCCGCCTCTAAAAAGTCCACCTCCACTCCACTTATTATTCAAAATTAGAAGCACCTGTTTGAGGTTGTTAGCTGCATAAAGACACCTGTCCACCCCACACAATCAGTAAGACTCCAACTACTAACATGGCTAAGACCAAAGAGCTGTCCAAAGACACCAGAGATAAAATTGTAGACCTCCACAAGGCTGGAAAGGACTACGGGGCAATTGCCAAGCAGCTTGGTGAAAAAAGATCAACTGTTGGAGGAATTATTAGAAAAGGGAAGAAGCTAAACATGACCGTCAATCTCCCTCGGACTGGGGATCCATGCAAGATCTCACCTCATGGCGTATCAATGATCCTAAAAAAGGTGAGGAATCAGCCCAGAACTACACGTGAGGAGCTGGTCAATGACATGAAAGAGCTGGCACCACTGTTTCCAAGGTTACTGTGGATAATACACTAAGACGTCATAGTTTAAAATAATGCATGGCACGGAAGGTTCCCCTGCTTAAATCAGCACACGTCCAGGCCCGTCTGAAGTTTGCCCATGACCATTTGGATGAACCAGAGGAATCATGGGAGAAAGTTATGTGGTCAGATGAGACCAAAAATAGAACTTTGTGGTCTTAATGCCACTCGCTGTGTTAGGACGACGAAGACTGATTATCATTCCAAAAACACCATCCCTACTGTGAAGCATGGGGGTGGAAGCATCATGCTTTGGGGGTGTTTTTCTGCACATGGGACAGGACGACTGCATTGTATTAAGGAGAGGATGATCGGGGCCATGTATTGTGAGATTTTGGGGAACAACCTCCTTCCCTCAGTTAGAGCACTGAAGATGGGTTGTGGCTGGGTCTTCCAACATGACAATGACCCGAAGCACACAGCCAGGATAACCAGGGGTGGCTCCGTAAGAACGTATAACCTGGATCTCTCACTTACTGCTCACTGAATTGAGAAAGCTCCTCGGATGAGGAGCGAAATGTCTTCTGTTACAAATAAAGTCCAGTTGTTTTTGTATTGAACACTTTTTGAATCCAACCATCTTGTTTTCACATTTGACATCTCGTCTCGACCTCAAGCCTTGTCTTTTGGATCTCGACCTCATGCCACGTCATTCGAATTTACTGCTCTGCATTCTCCTCGCCTGATTGTGTCTGCCCATCTGACCCTGGTTTTGACTACTTCTGCCTACAGATTTCTAGATTAAGGTTTGACCCTTTGGATTTGTCTTTGGCTCTCTGACCCCCTGTGTGCAACCCCTGCTTCACCTTTAGAACCACGACCCTGGATTGCCCTGTTGTTCACAGCCTTAAAGACCTCCCTCTGCAGCTGCCTTCCCACCAGTTACAGTGACATCATCTCTTTAAGCTCTAACAGGTGGCTCTCACTCCACCTGCCTATGAAGATGTGTTCCTGCAACTAGATTCTGACTCCAACCAGCTGTCTGGGTGAATTTTAAATCCTAAAACCCTGATTCTTGACAGAGTGTGGCAAAGAGGTGAAAAAGAGTCCTGTCAGTGAGTCCTGTCCTTTGTCTCGTCGTCGTTGGGTATTGCCTGTCCTGTCCTGCCAGTCTGATCTGTTCCTCGTTCCCTGTTTTTGTAAGATGCTGCCAAGTCAGCCTTTTTGATTTATTATTAAAGAGTATTTATTTTTGTATCCTTGAGTCTTGACTCTTTCCCTGCACAACTGGGTTCTCTCCTGTCCTGACCTGCCTGAAACCCTGACACATCCTCTTTGGCCTTCCTCTTTGTCTTTTTCCTGGCAGCTGCATTTCTAACATCCTTCTACGATTATAGCCACTGTCCCTCCTCTAGACATGTCCAAACCATCTCAGTCTGGCCTCTCACTTTATCTCCTAGTTGTTCAACCTGTGCTATACCTCTGATCTCATTCCTAATCTTATCTATCCTTTTTTTCCTCACTCGCTCTCGTACGAGGCCGATGCATTCTCTACCCTCTCCTATTCTCCTGCTTTTTTGCTCTCTGTCTGTGTATCGGAGCTCCTATTTTACACATCCTCTGAAACGAAAACAACTGTTATGGATCTGATCAGCTGGGCTTTCAACGCAATCTACAAAATCTTTTCAACAAAGCGACAGGGACAGAGAGCTCTCAAGTCCCACTGAGAATCTCAGGAGGACGCCAAATACATATTGGAATCGGCTGGTTCCTGGTCTAGCAACATACAAGAAGACAGCTGCAGCTAATTTGATCCTTGTCAGGCTGCCTGCCTTGTGAAGGTTTGGTTCGTGCTTTGAGGACTCAAAATCGCACAGACCAGTAGAATGCACCCTAATCTGGCCATTTTGGATCTTGAAAGTACCAGTAGGACTCAAGGCTGACAAGAAAAACACTCTGCCTGAAAAAAAAATTTACAATTGTGGCTTATCTGAATCTGACTCCCCCCGTTGGCCTCGAAAACAGGCTGACATATCAACTTCTCCAGGGAAATGTGTAAACTAAGGAAAAGCTTTGTCTATCGTAACCCCCCACACCTTGTAGTACTTCTGTGGAGGCTTATCAGAACTGTGCTGGCTGACAATTATCTTATCAGGACAATGGACTATCTGTTAGTGCTTCATGGACCACCTTGTCGTCAAATGCATATGTAACGTGTTCATAAATGTGCTGCTGACAGTTTTTTGATGTCTTAAATCGTGTTCTGATAGGGCAAGGTGTGAAGAGATATTTTTTTGTAATGCCACTATCCTCTCCTCATGGATTTCCCCCTTTTCTATCTAAAAAAGTATTCTGAAAAGGATAAGAGGCTGCGCTATCATAGCAGCAGCTACATGCACTCTGCCCATCTTTCGGATGACTGTATGAACATATTCTTGCTGTATCGCAGTACAATGATAATCACTCCTAAGGAGAATGTCAACATTTTCATTTCTGCCACTTTCAGTTCTGTCTCCAGTCTCTGTTTCCAGACCATAAAACATAGCTGGTCTCACCACAGATCACGTCATCTGCAAACATCATAGTTCACAGGGATTCTTGCCTGACCTCATCTGTTAGTCGGTACATCACCAGAGCAAACAAGAAGGGGCTCAGAGTCGATCCTTGATGCACTCCCAACTCCTCTTTAAGCTATCTGTCACTCCTACAGCACATCTCATCACCGTCCTGCTGTCCTCATACATGTCCTGTACCAGTCTAAAATACTTCTCCGCCACTCCCTCTGCACCCTGTCATATGCTTTTTCTAAATCTACAAAGCCACAATGAAGTTCTTTCTGACCCTCTCTGTACTTCTCCATCAGCATTCTCAAAGCAAAGATGGCATCTGTGGTGCTCTTTCTTGGCATGAAACCATACTGCTGCTCACAAATAGACACCTCTCATCTGTCTAGCATCCACAACTCTCTCCCAGATTTTTATTGTGTGACTCATCAACTTAGTTCCCCTGTAGTTGTTACAACTCTGTACATCACCCTTGTTCTTAAAAATGGGCACCAGCACACTTCTCCATTCCTCAGGCATTTTCTCACCCTCAAATATGCCATTGAATATTTGAGTCAAAAACCTCACTGTCATCTGTCCAAGACATTTCCAAACCTCCAGTGGTATGTCATCAGGTCCTACTGCCTTCCCCTTCTTCATTCTTTTCAGAGCTTTCCGGACTTCACCCTCACTAATCTTTCCCACTTCCTGGTCCACAGTTTCTATGGCCTCTACTCACCTGACACTTGAATAGGCAGCTAAAACATTGCCTGCTGTCTGTTATTGAGAAGATAGCATATTTGATGAACAACGGGGCAGCTGTGGCTGAGTGGTTAGAGCAGTCGTCTTCCAATACGAGAGTTGGGGGTTCGATTCCACCCGTTATCACATGTTTAAGTGTCCCTGGACAAGACACTGAAACACTCATTGCATCTGATGTGTGTACAATCGGTGTATGAATATCTAAATATTATCTAAAGCACTGGTAAGTCTCTCAGATTCAGATTAGCTTTGTATAGATTTAGTAGAGTGCTGTGTGGAGGTAAATGAGGGCACAGATTGTGTTGTAAAGCACTTTGAGTATCTGGACTAGATAGAAAAGTGCTGCATAAGAGCAGTCCATTTACCATTTACATTGACATTTACTCACCATGATTCACCCCGCAGAGTGAACAGATAAAACAAAACACTAAACAGATTGTAGTGTAAGGCGCTTTGAGTATCTTGAAATAAGATAGAAAGGCGCTATATAAGTACAGTCCACTTACCATTTACCAACCATTCACTATTATCATTATTATTATGGTTATTAATTAATTATATTGAAGTAGTAGAATAAAGTAGTATCATCTGACTGTAGCCTTGGGGTACCAAAACTTGCTTTAAGTAAACTTCCTTACAATACTTTACTTAAAAGTAAAGTATTGTTACTTTACTTAAAAGTAAAGTATTGTTAACCGTTAATGAAATTAAATACCTGCTATTGAGGTTTTGTGTTAAAACTGTTTCCATGAAAACCTAATTGTACCTTTGTTCTTCATGATGTAGTGAACCGCTCGGTCACTGATGGCGGCGTCGCTCGGCTGGATGTCCAGAAACGGTTTGTTCCCCACGCCCATCGACACCATCTCCTTCAGTCGCATCTCTGCTCACGTGCACACACAAACAAACACAAATACACAACAGGTTCAGTTGGTGACCCATACCAACTGAGCAGCATTTTTGCTGTCCCACTGTCTCCACCTTTGTTCCGGGTGGCCTGGGTCCAAAGGATCCGGGCGATGTCAGTCGTCCACGTGTGTTTGACCTCGGCTGTGGTGGCCTGAAGTATGAAGGTCTGGTTCTTGGTTGTTCTCCTCCTGAACCAGATCTCAAACCTGAGCCCGCTGTTCCCTGTTGACTCGGTCAGACCCACGTCTGCTGTCTGAAAAACAACAGGGTGCTGTCACAACCTGAGCTCAGGGTGAGTTGGACCCCACCTGGCTTACAGCGCTCACCTTGAAGGAGTGTTTGTAGATGAAAACGTCTAGCCCTCCTTCCATTTTCTTGGGTTTACTGAAGAGAATGAGCTCCTCAAACAGGAAGATGTGGCGCTGACATTTCCTCCTGCCGCTCGAGACGGTAAATTCATCCTGACGGATCAGCTGACCCTGCTCCTTCAGGTCTACCTGCAGATGGCACAATAAGCTGGTGGAGATTCTCAGTCATCCAGGACATGATGAATTCAAAAAGTGTTCAATACAAAAACAACTGGACTTTATTTGTAACAGAAGACGTTTCGCTCCTCATCCGAGGAGCTTTCTCAATTCAAAGAGCAGAGAGAGAGAGATTCAGGTTATAAGGCTGAGTGAGATAAGACACACACACATATGTAGATTGGCAATTCACACCTAAACAACCTTAACAGTAAGAGTCTTTTGTTCCTCTAATTCACAGACGAGGCCCCTCTGTTTCCATCAGGTGTGAAAACCGGCTGGGAATCTGTTTTAAAGTTGCATTATAGGTTTTTGAAAGTGGAAATCTGAGGCCTCCTCTGTTAAGAGACGGCTTTTCTCTTTTTACATGAATTGCTTCCTTCACCCCCCTCTCAAACCATCTGTGTTCTCGGTCCAAAATGTGCATATTTTGGTCCTCAAAAGAGTGTCCCTTATCTGTGAGGTGGAGATGAACAGCTGAATTTTGTCCAGAGGAGGTGACTCTCCTGTGTTGAGCCATGCGTCTGTGAAGAGGCTGTTTAGTTTCTCCAATGTAGAGGTCTGGACAGTCCTCGCTGCACTGGACCGCATACACTACACCACTCTGTTAGTGTATGGGTGTTTTGTCTTTAGGGTGGACCAGCCTCTGTCTGAGAGTCCTGCTGGGTTTGAAATGTACTGGGATGTTGTGTTTGTTGAAGATCCTTCTGAATTTCTCTGATACTCCAGCAACATAAGGGATGACAATGTTTTTACGTCTGCTGTTCTCCTTTTTCAGTTTATTGGTGTGTTTTGTAGATTTCCTCACTGACTTGACAAAAGCCCAGTTAGGATATACACATGTTTGAAGAGCTTCTTGAATGTGTTTCTGTTCCTTTTCCTTACCTTCTGTCTTCGTGGGGACGCATTCGGCCCGATGTTGTAAAGTTCTGATGACAGAGTGTGTGTGACAGAGTGTGTGTGTGTTCCAGTGGATGGTGGGAGTCAAACAGAAGATTCTGGTCTGTGTGGGTTGGTTTTCTGTAAACTTCAATTTTGAGGCTGTCCTCTCTCTCTATCTGAACCAAACAGCCCAAAAAAGGCATTTGTTGTCGTTTGCATCCTCTCTGGTGAACTTGATGTTGTTATCGACCGAGTTAATGTGTCTGGTGAACGCTTCTATTTCCTTAGCTTGGATTTTGACCCAGGTGTCATCCACATAACGGAACCAATGGCTTGGCGTTGTTCCCTCATAGGAGTTTAGGGCTCTCTGTTCCACTTCCTCCATGTAGAAATTGGCAACAATGGGTGACACTGGAGATCCCATGGCACAGCCGTGCTTCTGTCTATAAAAACTGTCATTGAACTTGAAATAAGTGGTGGAAAGGCAAGAGATCCAACAGGGTGCAGATCTGGTCTGGGGTGAAGTTGGTCCTGTTGATTAAGTTCTTGTCTTGTAAAAGTTGTTTTCTGATGGTTTCTACTGCTTCAGAGATGGGTATGCATGTGAAAAGAGGTCACATCATAGGATACAAGGGTTTCTCCTGGGGTTAGTTTCAAGTGTTGAACTTTGTTAGCAAAATCAATGGAGTTCTTTATGTGATGAGGTGTGTTTCCAACAAGAGGAGCTAAAATACCAGCCAGATGTTTAGCAATATTGTATGTCACTGAGTTCATGCTGCTGATGATGGGTCTGAGTGGTGTTCCTTCTTTGTGTATTTTTGGAAGTCCATAAAGACAGGGAGTGGCTTCCCGTGGGTACAATCTATAATACAACAATCAATTAATTGTTTTCTCCTTTTCAAGTTTTTGCAGGTAATCTGTGACTTTCTTTTGTGACCCAACCAGCGCCTACAAAAAGAACATGTACATGGCTTGCAATCCACCTCTGCTGATGGTGTTCGGATGATTTTTGTTTTTTGCATTTCTCATCTGTGACATCAACTCTCTGCTAGTGTATGACAGACAACTTTTGGATCTTCGTTTTTCTGTCACTGAAGTCGCTTATTTGGAAAAATATGAGCGTACCTCTGGACACCCCCCCCCCCTCCTCCCCCCCTGCTGGCGGACGTGCCAGCTTACCTTCGCTGCGCTCCTCACCTCCCTGCCCGGAGATATTGCATCAGACGCCGGGGAAAACGTGCTGGTCAGCTTGTGAAGCTGAAAGCTCTGCACGCTGCATCTTCCTCTCCTGTATGCCCGGACCAGGTAACCAACGTGAGTTGTCAGCCGATGCGCAGCTCGGACCGACCTGGAGGGGCTGTTATTGAAAACCTGCGGCCATTAGCGCGCGCTAACTCCACCGCTGCTAGCTCCACTTTGGACAATATCCGGATGTGTTTGGTCAACGCAAGATCTGTTACCAACAAAACTGTTATCCTCAGGGACTACTTTCAAGAGCACGATTTGAACTTTCTGTGCATCACAGAGACTTGGATGTCTCAGGGTGAGTCCAGCGCCTTGACGGAATTATTGCCACCGCACTGTTTGTATTTTAATGCCCCGCGGCCATCAGGCTGGCGCGGTGGTGGATTATTAACAATATTCAAATCAACTTTTGACTATAAAAAACTACCCATCCCAGTTCCCCGTGCCAGCTTTGAGCTGAGCGTCTTTGAACTCGGACATTCACCTCCAACGTTATTTGCACTCGTCTACCGCCCACCTCGATCTAAGGATTTCATAAATGAGTTTTCTGACTTCTTGGCTGAAATCACACCAAAATATGAGCATGTTTTCATTATTGGGACTTTAGTTTGCATGTGTGCTGTCCTGAGAAGCCCTTGCTTAAGGACTTTTTAGATTTATTGGACTCATTTAATTTAACTCAGCATGTAAACTGTCCCACCCAAGAGTGTGGACATACACTGGACCTTGTTTTAACTCATGATATGACTGTTAATAATCTTGTTATTGGTGATAATGTTTTTTCAGACCACATGCCAGTCCGGTTTGAGTTCACCCTCCCCCATCTAACTCCTAAGTCGTGCATTTGTGCACGTAGGACCCGGGCAATTAACCACTTCACTGCCACATGTTTCACAGATGTTTATAACTCTGAAATGATCATTCAGCCCCCAGTGTTTCTCACCACCACTGAGGAGCTGACATCCCAGTTCAACTCTGTCTGCTTAAAGACTCTGGATCATGTTGCGCCTGTTAAAACTAGAAAATCAAAACTGAGAGCAGAACCTTGGCTGAGTGACGTCACCAAGGCCGTTAGGCAGCAATGTAGGAGGGCGGAGCGAAAGTGGAGGAAAGACAGGCTGCAGGTCTCTTTTTAAATATTTAAAGAGAGTTGGTGCCGTTATTAGAAAGCAGTAAAAGCTGCTAAATCCAAATACTTCTCTGATATAATTACATCAAACTCTCACAACCCACGTGTCCTCTTCTCCACCCTAAACTCTGTTCTTCACCTCACTGAACCATCACCTCTGGAAGCCTCTACTGAGCTGTGCGACAACTTCTTACATTTCTTTTTGGAAAAAAATTGTGACCACCAGGGCTGTCATTTCCCCTCCAACTCATGACCCATCCATCCCACCTCAATCTGTAGCTCCTTTCGACCATTTTGAACCCATCACTCTATCTTCTCTAGAGCAGGTCATGTGCAACTTGAAACCTTCTGGTTCCCCCTTTGATGTGGTCCCACCTTGACTACTAAAGGAGGTTTTTCCAACTCTAGGTCCGTCCATTCTTGATATAGTAAACAGTAGTTTATCCACTGGCGTGGTGCCAAAATCCTTTAAACATGCTGCCATCCAGCCTCTCCTGAAAAAAACAAACCTTGACCCCTCAGTCATGTCCAACTTCCGGCCTGTCTCCAAACTCCCATTTGTTTCTAAAGTAATAGAGAAAATAATCGAGTCCCAGTTGAAGTGCTTCCTGGAGGATCACGCCATCTTAGAGCTTTTCCAATCTGGCTTTAAACCTCTCCACAGTACTGAAACTGCCCTGCTGAAGGTCTTTAACGACATCTTCAGATTCACAGATACCACTGATTCTGTGCTGCTTGTCCTGTTGGACCTCACAGCCGCCTTTGACACCATCGACCATGAGATCCTCATTGCTAGGTCGGAGCAGTGGGTGGGCGTCACAGGATCAGCCCTCAATTGGTTCAGATTTTACCTCGCTGACAGATCCTTTTGTGTCTCCATCAAGGATTTTAGTTCCGCAGAGGCAGAGCTTAAATGGGGGGTTCCGCAGGGGTCCATCCTGGGTCCCCTC